TTCACCATACTTATTCAACCTGTATGCTGAGCAAATCATCTGAGAAGCTGGGTTCTATGAAGAAAAACGTGGCATTAGGACTGGAGGAAGACTCATTAACAACCTGCAATATGCAGATAACACAACTTTGCTGGCTGAAAGTGAAGAGGACTTAAAACATTTACTGATGAAGATCAAAGAGCACAGCCTTTGGTATGAATTATATCTCAATGTAAAGAAAACAAAAATTCTCACCACTGGACTAATAAACGACGTTCTTATCAAGGGAGAAAAGATTGAAGTTGTCAACAACTTCATTCTTCTTGGATCAACTATCAACACTCACAGAAGCAGTAGTCAAGAAATCAAACAACGTATTGCATTAAGCAAATCTGCTGCACAAGACCTTTTCAAAGTGTTGAAGAGCAAAGATGTCAGCTTGAGGACTAAGGTGCTCCTAACCCAATCCATGGTATTTTCAATAACTCCATATACAGCATATAAGGAAGACCATAGAAGAAGTGATGCTTTTGAGTTATGGTGTTGGAAGAGAATATTGAAAGTGCCATGGGCTTCCTAAAGAACCAATGGATCTGTGTTGGAAGTGCAGCCAGAGTGCTCCTTGGAGGTCAGAATGGCCAATATTCATCTCTCATACTTCAGGCATATTGTCAGGAGGGACACATTGCTGGAGAAGGATATTATGTGTGGTAAGGTGGATGGTCAGAGAAAATGAGGAAGACCCCCAACAAGATGGATTGGCCAAGTGGCAGCATGGGTAGGCTCAAGCATGGCAACAGTAGTGAGGCTGGCCAGGATAGGCAATGTTTCATTCTGCTCTGCATAAGGTCGCTATGAGTCGGTACCGACTTGATGAAACCTAACAACAACAGCATGGATTAATTGCTGCCATTATGGTTTTGTGTGTGTATGTGTGTGTGGTATTGTTGTTTTCTTTGTTCTGTGTGTCTTCCTTTGCTGAGTTCATGTTTTTTGTGTTCTTTCTTGTGAGTTTCCACATAGTTTTAATGTTTCCATGTTCTTCTTGGATTTTCATGTTCTTGGTATGTTGTGTAGGGTTATTTTTCTTTGAGGTTACCTTATAATCCATTAACTTTTCCCCACATTTACTGAAGTCTATTTAATCCTGAAATCTACCCGATCTTCTCACCATCTGGATCACTGTTCCTACGTGTTTACCTTCTTCTGCATTGTAATTTTTTTGATTATAGACTGACCTCCCAGATTCTCTGAGTTTGTTCTTATAATTTTGTTCTGTTCTCAACTCTTTCATCTGTTCATTTAGTTCTAGGAGGTACTGCCACATATGTCAATCTCTGGTTGTTGTCTGTTCTTGTTGGTTCTCAGTCCACAGAACTTCCTTTAGGGTGTTTTGTAGCACAGTGTTGGCTGTGTTTATTCTTAGCTTTTGTTTATACTGGAATGTTTTGATTACACTGTCGTATTTGATTGATAGCTTTGCTGGATAAAAGATTCTTGACAGTTTTTCTTCTGTCAGGGTTTTACAATATGTCTCCCATTGCCTTCTTGCTTGCATAGTTTCTGCTAAGAGATGTGAGCTTAACACTCCCTAGTTCTTTTCAGGAGTGTCTCCTTATCTTTGATTTTGGAGAGCTTGATTATGATATGTCTCAGTGATTTTCTTTTGGGGTCTATCCCTCCTGGGTTTCATTGAGCTTCTTGAATGGTTATACTTTCACTTTTCAGGATGTTAGAGAAATGTTTTTCCAGCAGTTCTTCAACTATTTCCTCTGTGGACTTCTGTGATTCTTCCTGTTCCAGAATGCCGATAATTCCTAAGTTATTCCTCTTTTTATTGCCCAACATGAATCTTAGACCTTCTTCGGAGTTTTAAATCTTTTTCTGTTTGCTTTTCTATCTTAGTGGTATTGAGAGATTTGTCTTCCAGCCTACTAGTTCTGCCTTCCATCTCTTCTAATCTACTCCTTTGCCCTTTCAGTGTATTGTCTATTTCTTATATTCTATTATTGATCATTTGGACCTCTTTCTGTAGGTTTTTAATTGTTTCCAGTGCTGTATCTATCTTATTTGATTGTTCCTGTAACACTTTCCTGACTTCTTTCTTAGTTTTCTCAACTCCATAGTAAAGTGTTTTGAAACATTTTATAATCATTTTTCTGAATTCCTTCTGAGGTATTTCCAAGGCCTGCCCTCCTTCCAGCATGGAGTCCAGGTCTACTTCTAGGTCATTTGTCTCAGATATTGTAACTTGTTTCTTGACATGTACTGATATGGTCTTCTGCTTTTGCTTCTTGGACACGTTTAGAGTTTATCTGTAGCCTTAATACTTAGATGGGTGTATGTTTTGATATTTGTTATGTTTTCTGATTGCCTCCAGGTAGATGTGATCAGGATGTGGACTTCCTTTTTCACTCTTCTTATTGCTTGACTCAGAGTAACTTTCACAGGTGTTGTCTACCTCCCTGGTATATGGCAGTTGTTATTTGTTCTTGCCTGGATTGTGGAGTTTTATAGAGTGATTGTAGCTTGACTATATGGCAGCAGTTGCTGTCTCTTCTTGAGTAATATAGGGAGAGAAAGAGTCCCCCCCTCCCCGCAAGGTAAAAGGAGGAGCATAAAACAGCAAAACAGCAACAGCAAAAACAAAACAAAACAAAACACACCACCACCAACAACAACAACACTAGATTGGATACTGTAGTCTATAATCGCAGAAAGAGTTATTGTGGTGTACCTCAGTATTTAATTTAATTTTTGGCCTGTTTTGTTTTTAAACTCTCTTTCCCTCACCACACCCCTTGTTCTGGCCTTTTTGCTATTAAAAAAAGCTCAGGGCTGACACTTGGGCTGAGAGTATCTCTATAGTTTTAAGTTTTATCTAACAAAATACCTACTGGAGTTGTAAGTTTTACCAACAGCCCTGTCAAAGAGCAAACTGGAGCACCTGTTAAAATTAAAGATCAGGGAGTACTTTGTCAAGGGTTCATCAAAACACTGCAGTTAAAGGAAATGTTCACAGGGCTTATATACTGAGGACGCTTCTTAGAAGAAGAAAATTCTGACTGGCTGACAGTTATAAAATCATGCTTTATCAGACTCAAGACCTATTCAACATTATTTTGCTAAAGATAAAGTTTGAGTATTTTAACAGCTTATTCTATGGATATTTCAAGGGTCAGCCTGAATGAATGCTCTTGCCAGGAATATACTATGAGAGAAAGGGAGGAGGGTGTGTGCAAATTTACTTAGGTATGTTGGCTAGCTGACTTTTAAAAGTCAGCTCAGAATAAGCAGTAAATGTGGCGGTGGTGGTTGTGATGGTGGTGAAAATGAGTCTGGCTTGCATCTTTGACTAAATCTCTTTATGCCAAGCATCTATCTCTTGAACTCCTTCATATCCCAGAGGAGGACTAGTATCCTCAGTTGCTGGGCTTGGGATTTTAATATTTTTTTATACACTGAGTCATCACTTCTGTCCTGTGATCATCTTATAATTAACTGAAGAGCTTACAATTATGTACTCTTAACCAGTCATCCCACCTATAGGTTAACACCAACTCACTGTCAGGGAGTTAATTCTGTCTCACATCATCTCAATAGGGCCAGTAAAAGTGCTTCCCTCGTGTTTCTGAGGTTGTAAATCTTTACCAGAGCAGAATGCCTCACTGGAACACAAAGCACCAGTCTCAGCTCTCGGATATCCTGTTTACGCTTCCCGGAATTGTCTTTCAGCCAATCATGATTTTGTAGCTACTGTTTCAACTGCAGAAGAACGGTAACTTCTTTCTTGTCTGGTGGAGTGTCCATCTTTGTCCTGAGAATTTGCATGTTTTCCCATCTTTGGACTTTCAATAAATCTTTTAATTTGTACTTTTATAGAATGTGAGTCTTCATTCTAGGACTTCTTTGGAACATTCTTGATTCTCTAGTCAGAAGTGTTGCCCGATATGCAAATAACATATTAAATAAATTTCTTTTGTTGGTTTAATATTTTTAACAATATCAACAAAGCCTTCACTCACAGCGTTGGTGGTTGCCAAAGGTCTCCTGCATGGAGAGTCGGAATTTTACCATTTAGCTACCACTGCCCCCTAGCTTCTGCTTGTTGTTAAGTGCGGTCAGAAGGACCCTGTTTAGTTTCTGAGGATTTAAATCTTCTTCAGAGTCTCATCTTTCTCCCGCAGAGCGGCTGGCGTCTCGAACCGCAGACCTTGTGGTTCAGAGTCCAGTGCTTATCGTATGTTGTTGTTGTTAAGTGCTGTCGAGTAGGTTCCGACACATAGCGACGAGTCAGAACTAATTCGATGGCACTAAACAACAACATAGGGTTTCCGAGGAGCGGCTGGTGAGCTTGAATCCTCGACCTTGTGGTTCAAACCGACTTTGCAGCCCAGGGCATTAACCCACAGCGTCACACCTAAATAGGGTTTTCAGAGTGGCTGATGAGTTCGAACCACCAACATTGAGGTCTAGTGCTTATCCTACAGCGCCACACCAGTACTCTCCGGAAATCAAGGTTGTTAAGAGACATCGAGTTGATTCCGACTCATAGCGACCCTGTACAGGGTTTCCAAGGAGCAGCTGGTGGGTTTAAACTCTCTACCTTGTGGTTCTCAGTCCAGTGCTGATCCGACAGCGCCGCACCAGAAGCACAAATCATAGGTGGCGATTATCAGAACATAGCAGTGCGCTCTTTTTAGCATCACAGAAACTCGGAGTCACAGGACCTCGGTAACACGGCTAGAGGAACCACCAGTGAACAGCAGAAGCTGGAATAAGACACTCAAAAAGTGACCGGCTTTGAAGGCCCGGAGGTAATGGGAGGGGGCCAAAGGTTCGACCAAACATAGCCAGCCCTACACCGCCCCTCGTATACTCTGACTTCCGGGCAGCAGGGGGAAGCAGGCGGATCCCACCTACGAGTGCTCTTGTTTCCGGCGGAGAAGAAAGAGCGAAGGACTGCCTGTCAGTCGACGGTGCGGCGTGTTTCCGTGCGGCGGTGGGTCTCGGACGGGGGAATGGGGAAAGTGAGAGCGCTGCGGTCTCGGGTGCACCGGGCGGCCGTGAGGCCGAATGGGGAGGCTGCACCTGGTCCTGCTCCCCCGATCCAGAAACTGTACCTATCACAGCCCTTGAGCGGCCGAGCCGGGGGAAAGGTAAGGTGGGTACTGAGCGGACGGCGAGGATAGGAAGCGCCGGTGTTGCTGCCTGCGGGCGGACGAGTACCCGGACCCCGGGCCGACACGACCGCGTGAATTCCACACTGCTGGTGCTCAGTGGGCGGGCTGCGGAGGGGCGAGCGTTGGGACACAGCCCGGGGGAGACCTGGGAGCGTAGACTAGGAGCTGCCGGCCTCCGTCGCTCCAGTGTCGTGCGAGAGAACCAGTCCACCACCACAGTCAAGGAATGCCACACGAAAAATGGCAAAGATTGCTTTGTACCTGAAATCCCAAGGAAAGGAAGGAAATTACGGGGATTAAAGAGAGAAAAAATGGAAAGGAAACTGAAAACTGAAAAGAAATTCCCTTTCCTTTACTGAGCCCTAAGGTCGGCAGTTCAAACTTACAAGCCGCTTCTCAGAAACCCTTTACAGGATTGTTGAGTCGGAATCGACTTGAATTTAGCAACAACATCCTTTGTCGTCCTCGCTCTTACTACATCACTACTTTCTCCAGAAATGGACCCTCTTCCGATCAGTTCGTGTGAGTGGAATATGCAGCATATGTTTTTGGTTTTGCAGTCAAGTGAATTCCTACTTGGGGCTGTCCCATGTGTATTAGAGTAGAATTGTGTACTATAGGATTTTCAAGGCAGTGGGTTTCCAAGGTGCCTCTGGGGGGCTTGAACTGTCATTTTTTGGGTTAGTAGTCCAGCACTGAAACATTTGCTTCACCCAGGAACTCCCTACTAGTTATTGTTGTTGAGTCATTTCTGACACAGGAGACCCCATGTGCAGGGTTTTCAAAGGTGGTGACCTTTCCCAAGTGTCTCCCGTGGCTCTGCAACCTTTTAGCTGTTGATAAGTGCCATTGAGTTGATTCCGAGACATAGCAACCCAGTATAGGGTTTCCATGAAGTGGCTGGTGGGTTTGATCCGATGACCTTGAAGTTAGTTGTTGTTATGTGCGGTGGAGTCAGTTCCGAGTCATAGTAACCCTGTACAGGGTTTCCAAGGCTGTAAATCTTTACGGGAGCAGAAAGCCTCATTTTTCTCCTGCGAAACAGTTGGTAGTTTCGAACTGCTGACCTTTCAGTTCACAGCCTGATTCGTAACCACTACGCTACCACCGGAGCTGAGGTTAGGTGCTTATCCAGAGCTGTAGTTAAGTGCTTATCCTACAGAGCCACACCAGGACTCTTCAGTTAGTAGGGGTGGAACTATTTGCATCACCCAGGGACTTCATATAGAGATGCACATCAAAACCACAGTAAGGTATCACCTTACCCCAATTAGAATTGAAAAACAAACAAACAAAAACAGTAAAAGAACAAGTAGCTCATAATTATGGCTGAACAGTATTACATTGTATGTATGGACACATTTTATCTCTTCATCTGGTGATGGACATATAGGTGGTTTCCACTTTTTGGCTGCAGTGTTACAATGAACATTTCGTGCACACATTTTTCTGTGGCCCTAAAGAGTGGAATTGCTGTGTCATATGGTAATTTTATGTTAGGATCTGCCAAATTGCTTTCCAAGGAGATCACACTACTTTACATACAATGTTTTAGGGCAACTGTAGTACCAGGGTTCAAGATCTGCTACAAAAGACACAATCCACACCTTGGACAGTGCATGGGACAACACTTTACTCAGAGAAGAGAGCAAAGTCAGCTCTCATTGTGGCCACAGTTCTTACCTGGCCATCAAATTCCCCCTTGAAGTTGGTGCAAGGCAGATATTCCATGCTCACTTCTCCTGTGCTGCAGTCAAGGGAGACCTTGTATCTTTCCCACTGGGCATAGAGAAGTGGGATTGGCCAAAAGCTATACAAGTATGGTGCCCATACATGAGCAAGATAGAAAGTTATTGTGTGCCCAGAACAGGGAGCAACGCTTCTGTTAGAAGAGAGACCCGGTTCCTAGCCTCCTTACCAGAGAAATGTTCTGGGCTTATCACCTATGCTTAAGCAGTCCAAATGGGAAACATAGAGGCATATTGTCTTTCTAGTAGTCTACGCCTTCCCTCCATCCGCATTCCCTCCATCCGCATTAGAACACCAGAGAAAAACGAAGCACAGCACTCAAGTCCTGGTGTGCCCAAATTGTCCATTCCAGATACTGAGCTGCCTGTTCATGGCATGGTATAAAACTGATGTTATGCCTGTGAACAATTTGCTTAATGTTTCTGTTGTTAAGTAATGCCAAATCAGTTCCAACCCATAGCAACTCTGTGTATAGGGTTTCCAAAGAGCAGCTTGTGAGCTTGAACCACCGACCTTGCAGTTCAAATGACTTTGCAGTCTGACGCATTAGCATTTAATGAGGGTTGTTAGTAGGATAGGATTTTTGGTCATGCTTGTCTTCTAACCAAAAGGTTGACAGAACCTACCAACATTTCCAGAGAAGAAAAGACCTGTCAATTTGCTCCCGTAGAGGCTCTTGTTGCAACGAGTCAGTTAAAATTCAGTGACCCTGTATAGAGTTTTCTAGGAATGGCTGGTGGGTTTGAATGGTTGACCTTGCAATTAGCAGCCCAGTGTTTCTTTTACAGCCACATCAGTAATCCCCCATAGAGATTTCAGCACAGAAAATGCTACAGGGCAGTTCTACTCTGTTATGGTGGTTGGTGGTTATGTGCTGTGTAGTCAGTTCTGACTCATAGCAACCCTGCATAGGGTTTCCAAGGCTGTAAAATCTTCATGGAAGCAGAAAGCCTCATCTTTCTTTCGTGGTACGGCTGGTAGTTTCGAACTGCAGACCTTGAGATTAGCAGCCTAACTCGTAACCACATGCTACCAGAGCTCCTTTTTACTCTGTTATGTTGTTGTGTGCCGTGGAGTCGGTTCTTACTCTGTTATAGAGGGCCACTATAAGCTGGATTGGAGTCCTGGTGTGGTGCTGTAGGATAAGCACTGGGCCACAAGGTCACTTTGAACCCACCAGCCACTCCTCGTAAACCTTATACAGGGTCATTATGAGTTGGAAACGACTTGACAGCACTTAACAACAACATAAGCGGGATTGATGGCATGCAGTAACTGTTAGGATTTCCTTAGCAGAATGATCAGGCCTGCATGGAACACAGATGACAGCCAGATACCTAGCCATTGCTTAATTCAAGCCAACTGAATAGATCAGAAGGAGCTCTGGTAGTGTAGTGATTATGAATCGGGCTGAGAACTGCAAGGTCAGCTGTTCCGTGGGAGAAATATGACACTTTCTGCTCCCATTAAGATTTACAGCCTCAGAAACCCTGTACAAGGGTCGCTATGAATTGAATTGACTCCACGGCACATAACGTCGAATAGATCAAAGGGGGCTGTGTTTGTCTAATCTTGTGGAGAATTTGAACAGCTTCTTTTATTTCATTTATTTATTGATAATGTGTACTAATTAATTCACTTAAAACAGCATATTTCTTCCAACCTAGCTCATTATATAAACAGTGCACATTCTGGCATAAGTAATGCAAAAGCCTCCTTCTCTTAATAGTTCAATTGTACAAGGTGGCACCATTGCTAGACCAGGTTAATCCAGAAGTGGTGTAATCAGTGTCTATACTTGGTCATTGTCTTAGTTCTCTAGTGCTGCTATAACAGAAATACCACAAGTGGAGGACTTTAACAAGCACATTTATTCTCTCTCAATTTAGGAACTTAGAAGGCCAAATTCAGAGTACCGGCTTTTGGGAAAGCTTTCTCTTTGTTAGCTCCAAGGAAAGTCCTTTTTTCTGTAGCATCTGTAGGCCCAACGTTCCTTGTAGATCTCCAGGTGTCTTAGCATCAATTTTCTTCTGGATCTAGGAGCTTCAAAGTACAGGTCCAGAAGATACACTCCACTCCTGCCTCTTCTTTCTTGGTGGTAGCTGGTCCCTCTCATCTTTACACACTTCTCTTTCCTTTATCTTTTGTGAGTTACAGGTGAGTGAGGGAAACTCCCTTACATCAGATCAGGCTTGTGAGGGGATTAAGGATATTGTTTATTGTTAAGTGCTGTCCAGTCGCTTCTGACTCATAGCGACCTATTTATATAGGGTTTCCGAGGAGTGACTGGTGAGTTTGAACCACCGACCCTGTGGTTCAAACTGACCTTGTAGTCCAGCGCATTATCCTGTAGTGCCATGACAGGACCCACCCTTAATTCTTTTATTGGTTTATCACATCTTGGGGAATTATCAAATAACTGCTGAATAACTTAAAATCATCACCCAATCAAGTTGGAGTTTCTGGCCCTGTGCAGTTTTAAGTTTTCTAGAGAGAATTTTTACAGATAGCCTTTGTACTTTAAAAGTTGTTACCCACAACTGGAGTTGACCAGATCTCTTCAGCACACTAGATCATGCATCCAATCAGTTGCTGTGGTTCACCTGGTAGACGGATGGGCTGGAACTGTGTGACGTGGCTCATCATTTTGGGTCACATGTTGACAGAGCCAGCAGCTGGTCTGATTGGTGGCTCTAGCAAATGCCTATATCATTGGGGCCCATTGATCTGTTGATCATTGTGAGATGATGGGGGGAGAGAGACTATTAACAACCCTCCCTCCCATGAGTGGAGTGGAGATATTCTTATCCCATGACTTGAGAGGGTTGCTCAGATATAGCCACCCAGTCTGTACATTTCCGTCCTGAGGCAACAACTTCTGTTGGGACCCATGTCTTTTTTTTTAAGTTTTTATTGTGAGATTTACATGGGAGGACATCAGCTCTACACTCATCTCATCATATTTTGTTTCATTGCAATGATTACAATCCCCTCCATGCATCATCAAACAATCAAAGGGTACACCACACAGGCCCACCCCCCAGCCACCAGCACACAGCCCTTCTCCCTCCCTGAGTCCAGTGTCCCCAGCCGCTCCATCTGTCCATGTCATCGTCTCTGGGGACCCATGTCTTTTGACCCTGAATTTCCTGTTGTTGTTAGGTGCCATCGAGTTGGTATCAACTCATAGCAACCTTATGAATAGCAGAACGAAACACTGTTCGATC